GCGCCTATGCGCATGTCTCGGTTACCGGCCAGAGGCTGACCACCTGCGGCCCAGAGGCGCGGGATAAACACGACGCAACGCTTAGTGGCCACGCCAGCTAAGCCATACACACTAGACCTCCCAGCAGCTACAACGTGGCGCCAGAAGAGGCCGCCTCACGTTTTAGTCTAAAAACTGGCAAAGCTGTCTGAGGTGTGGGTCGAACGCGCGACTGTCCTTGTTGTTGGTTAATTATTATGTAAGGACAGAGCTCTGTACCACTACGCTAATACAACTAAAAAGGTGCGAATAATCAACCAACAGTTAATTATTGCGTACAGAATAGTATATATACCCGTCGCACGTAAGCACCATCTCGGCCTTACACGTAAGCGCCATCCCGGCCTTACACTAGACTAGCTATGCGTCTAGTTTTTTACTTTATCTAACTATAAACAACCTTCTGCTAGAGACCTAATGCCTTAATTTAGCGCGCGCTAGATAGTTAGCTAATGCTACTAGACAACTATCTAGCATTCCTACAAGCTGTCTAGTGTCTAGCCTCACGATCAACTACCTATTCGCACGCTCTGCCTACCCAGCCTAGCATTAGGGTTAGGACTGCTATAAGCTCTTAGTTGTATTGTTATTAAAACAGCTAGTAGTCTAACAACTAAAGCTAGTACTAGGCTACTATTAGCCTAACGTAGAAGATAATAACAGTAACAACAGCGACTACAGCAACAACAGTAACTATAGTAATAACAGCAACTACAGCAACAACAGCAACAACTTAGTAGATAAGATAATGCTATAAGTAGTAAGTAAAAAAAGGTTATTTTAAAAAAAAGAATTTTAACATACTTTACAGGCAAGTTGCTTACACACCTAAGTTACTTACTTTTGCTAAGACTCTACTAAACTACTTTTTTTACACTAATGCATTTCTAATAACACTACTTAGATGTGCTAAAAGAACATTAGATACAGCTTACACTTTAAGCTTTTAAATAAGACATAAAACTTTTAAAAAAAACATGCTATAGCTATGTAAAAAGTTTTTTAAAAAATAATAAATAACTATAGCACTAGATAACTTTTATAAGTTAATTCTATAGCTAACTTATAAAAGCTAAGTAATAAAAAAAAGTAGGTAATTATTAAGACTATACTTAAGCTATATGCGCAAAGATTTTTCTCTTAAATAGCATTTATAGCTAATATAGCTAATTCTTTGCACGCTAAGCATAATCTAGGCTATGTTAGCATAAACTAGCCTAGTATGTTTATAAAGTGTTATTTAAAGCTTAAAGTAAAGTTTTAAGTATAAGTATAGTTAATAAATATTTAGCCTATAATAAAGCTTATATTACTAAAGTTGTACATATTATTATCTTAGATGCTATACTTAGCTTTAATATTCTTTATAAGGCTAAACCTGCTTTAAATCACTTTAGAACTTTTATAAAAAGCTTTTTTATAGTTGTACTACGCTTAAATGTTACTTTAAAGTTTAGATAACACTTTTTAAATATACTAGGCTAGTTTATAGTAATATAGCCTAGATTATGCTTAGCGCGTAAAGAATTGGCTATATTAGCTATAAATGCTATTTAAAGGGAAAATCCTTGCGCATATAGCTTAAGTATATTCTTAATAATTACCTACTTTTTTTTATTACCTAGCTTTTATAAGCTAGCTATAGAATTAGCTTATAAAGGTTATCTAGTGTTATAGTTATTTATTATCTTTTAAAAGACTTTGTACATAGCTATAGCATATTTTTTTTAAAAGTTTTATGTTTTATTTAAAAGCTTAGAGCATAAGCTATATCTAACATTTTTTTTAGCACATTTAAGTAGTGTTGTGAGGAATACATTAGTGTAGGAAAAGTAGTTTAGTAGGGTTTTAGCAAAAGTAAGCAACTTAGGTGTGTAAGCAACTTGCCTGTAAAGTACGTTAAGGCTTAATTTTAAGCTTTTTTTTATACATAAAAAGTAAGCTTTAGAGAGGGGTAATGTAACAGCGTGTACTGTGTTATATGCTCTACAACTTAAGCTTCCTTGCTTGCGCAACAAGTAGCGCCTTAGTACAACAAGTAGCGTCTTAGCAGGGGGGACACATGTATATTTAAACTTGCGGAGCAGCTCCTCTGCTCCTTAGTTTAATCTAGTTAGGTTACACCACCTCTTGCTAGTAGCTTAAGCATGCTAATTGTAACATATATTATAAAAATAAAGTTTCTACTATGCTTTAAAGTAGCTTATAACTTTATTATTATTTTTAGTAATATTTAAGAAATGGTTTAAAGCACTAGATTAGTTTCTTTTAACCTATAATATGTTATAATTAGCTTTTATATAAAGTTACATACTTTAATACTACTACTTTTTATTAATAATAAGCTTTAGTTATTATAAACTCCAAGTAATACTTTAAAACTTAAGTTATAATTAATGTTTATAAAAATAAAAATTTAAAAGCATATAAATAGATTACTAACTCTTATAGTTATAGTGTTTTAAAAATGTTTTAAAAAGAGTAGTAATAATTACTTATAAGTTAGTGTTAGTATAAAAAAATCACTAAGCTTTAAGCAGCTAATAAGGCTACTATATAATATAAATTATATAAAAAATTAGATTAAAGTAGAAAAAGCCTTAATAGTTTAAAAAAGCCTACACTTCACAACCTTAAAAAAAGTTTAGAGTGTATAGTAATAATAAAAAAGTAAAAAAGTAAGTATAAGCTAAAGTAAGTAAGCTATTTTAAAGGCGCTATAAACAGTGTAATTAGACTAGGCATAATATATAAACATGTAAGCAAGAAGTAGAAGTAGTTTCTAAATAATATTCTAAGCTATACTATACTGTATAGTGCTAAAGCAGGTTATTATAGGCTATAATAGAGTGCGTTGTAGTGTGGTCTATGTAACGATTCTTATGAATCGTTCCATCTCAGGTCGCTCGGAACCTATCCAAAGGGTCCCTGTATCAGCTCCGATCATGACTTAACCCTGTCCCCCGCAGTTACTCCTATTCCCTTAAGTATTTAGTTGCACCTCTCTTCTTAGCTAGCTTAGTAGTTTTCTAATATCCTTTTATACAAGGCCTATATGTGTTAATAGAATTCCTAGGTTATTAAGTCCCTACATACTTCTATATACCTCTAAGTGGATTTCTACCGCATTTAAACCTATTGTCTTGCCTGCGCTGTTACAGTCTTAGCAAAAGTAAGCAACTTAGGTGTGTAAGCAACTTGCTTATAAGGTACAGTAGTAGATTTTATAAAGTTTGTTTTATTTCTATTTAGTAATTAACAGTATATAAAAGATTCTATTTTACTATATAAAAAATAGATTCTATATAGCATGAAAATTATTATAGTGTTGCGCTATATTACTATGTAGGTGTTTTAGTAGAGTTTGCTAGTCTGTTGACTTATAAAAAATAGTAAAAAAGTAGTAAGAAAAGTAACGTACCTAACAGGTTGGCTAGCCACACAGGTTAGCTAGCTACTTTTGCTAAGCCCCTACTAAAACTACTCTATTCTCTTGCAAAACAGCCTACTTTAGCCCTATATAAAGCAATATAACATAAGATATTATTTAAAGTCTACTTTTACTACTTACTTATATATATGCAAGTTATGCCTAGTTTAATTACACTACTTATATTACCTTTAACTTAGCTTACCTTTTTTAGCGCGCACTTGCGTCTTTAGCTTTTTTCTATTACTACGCGCTCTAAACTTCTTTAAAGTAGTTAGACAAGCTTTATTTTTAACTATTAAGGTTTTCTCTACCTAAATCTACTTTTTTTTATATAATTTATGTTACATAGCAGCTTTATTTACTACTTAAAGCTTTATAATTTTATAGCCTACTTTATTATGTTAATGCTCTAAATAACTATTATCTACTTTTTATTACTTTATTATATTACCTTTAGCTATCTTTATCTTTTTAAAGCTATAATAACTGCTCTAGTTAATATCTAGCCTATTATAAAGCCTAATTTATTAAAGTTATATGTGTTTTAATTCTAGATACTATACTTAGCTTTTATGTTAGCTACTAGGTAAAACTAGCTTTAGATAACTTTTAGATTCTTATAAAGCACTTTTTTATAATTATACTTATAATTAAACTTTATTATAAACTTAGAGTAGTGCTTAACCTATATACTAGGCTAGTTTAAGCTAACTTAGCCTAGATTACGCTCTGCAGGCAAGGAATTAGCTATATTAGCTACAGCTATAAGCCTAGAGAGAAATCTGCGTATAATAAGCTTAAGTATATACTTAATAACTATCTTTTTTTTAAGCTTAGTTAAATTCCTTAATTTAGGCTAGTATTTTGCTTATAAAAGCTGTCTAGTGTGTTAATTACTTAGTGTTATATAAAAGACATTATAAATAGCTATAGTGTGTTATAAAGAGAGTTTTAAGTCTTATTTAAAAGCCTAAAGAGTAAGCTGTATCTAATGTTTTTTAGAAAATTTAATCTAGTGTTGTTGTTAAGGCATTATGTAAATAGGTAGAGTTTAGTAGGGGCTTAGTAAAAGTGGCCAGCCAACCTGTGTGGCCGGCCAACCTGTTAGGTACGTTATATGTAAAAAGACACAAAATATACATGTTATAGTTAAATTATGCATAAAATTTACTTTTATCTAATTTAAATAAATGATTTAGATAGTATTAATTTATTAAAAGAATAGTATACTATTACATAGAGTAAAAAAAATCATTATAGTGTTCTTCTGTGTTGCCGCGCAGCGTTGTAGTAGGGTTTACTAGTCTGCTCATTTGAATGGTCCACTCGCTCATGAAAAACATTATATATACAGTTAGAATACTTTTGGACGGCAAGCCTAAGATTGGTCGGACAGCCGATCGTACGTAGAGCCCTCTGGCGTGCAATACATAATGCATTTCATCAGAGAAAACCCCTTCCAGTGACCTCGATATATACAATGAAGTATTGGACAATGTTGTTAGACTAGCCAAATATTGGCCGCCTGTTAAGGCTTTTCCTTAGTCTTCATTCCAAAATCCGTGTCTAATGATCTTTTCAACTTGGACTCTCTCATACCCCATGCAGCTATGAATCCGACACAAGCAAAAACAACAGCTATCTGCCAGACCCTCTGTAGAGCTCCTTGATATGTCAGAATAATTTCGATTCTAGTAGACTCACTAAAACTGTTTATAAAAGCTGATGATGATTTCTCGTATGCTACACCGTTTCGAAGCATGTCACGTGCATTGCTGTCGCTTATTTGGGTGGAAAGCTGTTCGAACCGGTTGTTGAAAATGGCCGCAGGAATTGAGATTCCCCATATTGAACCAAGGCTGCGAAGAAAGCCCCACGTAGCCGTTGATGCCGCCACATCACTTTCAGGCAGCTCGACTTGGACAGCAGGAAGAATTGCAGTAGTGACAAGACCGATTCCCGCAGCGGCAACGATTTGGAAGATGGCCCATTTCGTGGTTGATGATGCGATATCTAGAGTGGTGAAGAGTCCGACACCTAAAGCTTGTAGGCTAAAACCAATGATACACAAGGGCTTGTACCGGCCGGTGGCAGTTATTAGTCCTCCAGCGACGATAGCGAAGGGTATGACTACAATGGTAGTAGGAAGGAACTGGATGCCTGACCGAGTTGGATTGCTTAACAGCACGCTTTGGAAGTACACCGGAAGAAAATAAGTGATCCAATACAAGATCATGCCGTGGAGAAACACCAATACAAAGGCGATCGCAGATGTTCGATTCTTGAAGAGCCGTGGAGGCATAACGGGTTCCTGTTGCCACCCTGTCACTTCGTAGCTGTGGAATGCGCATATGCCGAGTAGCCCTAGGATTAAAGGGAGTATAGTACGCCAAGATGACCAAGGTCTAAGTGTTCCTCCGTAAGTTAAGGCGATTAGGATGGATATCATGGACGATACTAGTATTGCGTTCCCAATGTAATCAAGTCGTTTCAGCTTGTTCATCACAGTCGTCTCTTTGTCGAATCTGACCTGTAAAAAGAGTACGAGTAGAAGCAAAGCTAACCCAGAGACCGGTAATCCAAGGTAAAAAACCCAGCGCCAGGAGGAATGGTCGACAAGAACACCGCCAATAAATGGGCCTAAGGAAGATCCCGTAGCAAAGATGGCGAAGATGATGCCCATTATTGCGCCTCTCTTCCTTTGGGGTACGAGATCGCAGACGATGATGTCTATGAGCATATTCACGCCCCCGAGACCTATTCCCTGTAGTGTTCGTCCAGCAATCAGCATACCGTTAGAATTTGATCCACCGGCGATTCCACTGCCGAGTGCAAAGACGGCAACAGAAAATATGCTAGGCCATCGTCGTCCGAATACGTCTGCTAGTTGACCAAAGAGCGGCTGAATAACTGCACTGTTTTGGTACGTTAACTTAAAGCGCGAGTAAGCCGTATGAACTCATCGCGGAGGGCTTACCTGGACAAAAATATCGCATTCACAAACCACACATATAACTCTTTGGAGTCGAGCTCGTGGGTGATGGTCGGTAGCGCAGTAGCAGTAACGGTACCCTCAATCGCGGTAAGAAGCGAAGTCATGCAAAGACTGGCTATGATCATCCAAAATCTCCAGTCGTAACTCTCATCAATCTCCGAATCGCTAGCTGTTTGTTCTTCTAACCCTTTGGATGACGTGAGTCGCGGGGTCGCTGTTGTCGAAATGATCTTGTCGGTCGGGGTTTCGCCATGAGATTGGATCTCCGGATTGCAATCCATTGTGCCTCGTCGGATCGTAGCAATTAGAGTGGTTAACGTTTTAGTTTGTTGATTTCACGATGAGGCGTCCCCAAACGATCAGAACATTTGCCGCCGAAGGGGGCAACGGTCTTACAGCTGCAGCACCCAGAAGCTACGCCGCACAGATGCGGCTCAGCTCTGACATGAAGGCGAGACATGATGTTTGTTAAGTCTAGGTCATTAATAAGATATATTGCGAAACCACCGAGCCGGAAATCACCATACGCGGACGATCCGGCGCTTCAGTACGGTACGTTATGCAGCGTCGGTGAATCCTTGGCTAGCTAGACACCAGTCGACTTCATCCTAATGCTTAATAAATAATACTCAAAATATCGAAGTCTGACGAGCAATGTGACCTTGCTTTCGTAGTCTTGCTTCATTCGATCGAAAGCACTGGTATTACCAACTTTGGAGGTATGCACCGCTTCTTCAAATCCGAATTTTTCAACTTCGAGTTCTTGCGTATTTTGAGCACCGCACCATATGGAGGATGTGAAATTGGGGACGCTTTGGTCGTAGCTTCTAGGATAAATGACTGTGATGCAGAGTCATGGAGTCAAGAGTGGGCAGATATGAGTTCCAAAGCGGAAGCTCTGGCAGAGGAGGCGCAAAGCCTTGGAGATACCTGCGCCGCTCGCGGGGCCTTTTTGAGAGCTGCAAATTACTCTCGTGCCAGCCAATACATGCTCAGCAACTCACACCTGGGGCCAGATCTACGCGTCCTGCAAAGGCTGGAGAAGAGTAGAGATCTATTCAAGAGGGGTATTGCTCTATTGGAAATTGCTACAGCACACCCTCTATCCATCCCTTTTAAGAATGAGGTAGAGCTTCTGGCGTACCTGTACATCCCAAATATGAATGCCAAGAGACAAAACAGCACGGGTCGATATCCGCTTGTCATCATCTTGGATGGGGGCGACTCTACACAAGAGGAAATGTTTATTGCGTGTGGCTTGGCTGGGCTCGCCCGTGGATATGCTATCCTCACTTTCGATGGTCCTGGACAGGGGATATTGCTCAAGCGGGACAAGGTTCCCATGGAACCTGCGTACGAGAAGGTCACTTCGACTGTCTTGGACTACGTCGAGAAAATGGAATCGAGCGCTGAGTTGTCGCACTTGAGCGTTGACTTGGACAGAGTAGCGGTTGTCGGGCATTCTCTAGGCGCGTATTTCGCACTACGATCATGTGTTGATCTCAGAATCAAAGCCTGCATTGCTATTGATCCTTCATACGATATGTGGGATCTACTGGCATCCCGAATCCCGGCTTGGCTTATTGAAGGCTGGTCCGGAGACTATATACCGGATGGGGTTTTGAATTCTATCGTAAGGGTACTTCAACGATTGAATTTCCAGATGAGATGGGAAGTCGAGCATATGTTAGCAATAATGGGAGCGGAGAGCCCAGCCCAGGCGATTCGGAATCTACGAAAGTTTAGCTTGCGTCTTGCGAAAGGTGAGGAATATTTGAGCGAGGCTCAGTGCGCGATTCTAGTATCTGGTGCGGCGAAATCAATGTACTTTGATCCGACCTCGGACACCAGAAAGGTCTTTGAGGCTCTCGGCCATCTAGACATCTCGAGAAAGGAGTGTTGGATTGCAGATAGCGTGGAGCAAGGAGGACTATCAGCAAAGATTGCGGCATTCGAGTTAGCGAACCATCGAATATTCACTTGGTGTGACAGGCATATTGGGCTAGAGAAGGTGCGAGCTTAGAAAGTTTGGACCATCGTAAGATACAAGCGTTTTAATACTAAGAAGAGAAAATCTAACCATTTTCAAAGCTGTCGTGATTTCATGAACCTACAAAATGATTCATTACTCTTGCCTAGCAGGTCATTGATTGTTGGATGCGGCAAACCAGTTTCGTGCTGAAGGAAGCGTCACTATACCCGCATGGTGCGACCGCCAGGAGAGAGAAACACAGGTGATTTGTCTGCGGCATATTCGGCGGCATTAGTCCCCGAAAACGCCGGTGGAGGTCCTCTGCGGCGGGGATGAGTTGAGATAAAACGTGCCACCGCTCCTCGGGTGACGCCCCTCTCCTAGACACCCCTAGCTAATATCTTCCGTCGAACATTCGTTCGCATCGCTCTCTTCACCATGGCGCCCCAGAAAGAAGTAGTGCTCAAACTATCGTCCATGCGATACAAGAAGTCTGAAGTTTCGGAAGCGCAATTCCATGATCACGGTAGCAAATTTCATGCCCCCAAGGCTGCCATTGTCCAGGCGCGCCATGGAGCTCTTAGAGTGGCCCAGGTATGACTATCTTATGTCTGAGGACAATAAGAGGTGACAGTGTCTAGTACTACACGCCCAAAGCACTTCGCGGACTGGTTGAAGAGAAGCTTCCGTGGGCAGTGAGGCCAGGCTGGAAGATTGACGAGCACGATGCCGTTATCCAGGTCTATGTCCGCACCCCGGAGCAGATGATGGCAATCGTCACCGATCCGGATTTCCAATCACTTATTGCTGACGATGATGACATTGTTGACCCGTCCAAAGCGACGGTCACGGCGGGATGGGAGGAGGTTTATGTCGAGGACGGGAAAATAGTGAACATTGAGAATGGGAAGAGCATCTACCCTAGCTTCGCAGAGTGTGAGAAGCTCGGTGCAGTGGGCAGGGCGACATCCATTTCGGCGGATATGCAAAGGTTCTAACTGTGCGTTGAGGCGTGAGAGCAAGTAAATAGCCGAGAGTAGAGAACCGAACAACTTTCAGCCTTTAAGTAGGCTAAAACAACTTATACTGTGCTACAATGTGCTTTGTGTGTCCGTTGTGTTGTCAATGATTGCCCCATCATCTCTTGGAGGGAAAAGTAAATGAAAGGAAGTAACCATACTTTCTAACAAGCAAGCTAGATCAAGCGCTTGACTTGACTAGCTTAAAGCTTAATTGTTCCCTTAAGTTAAGTTGCTTTATAGTAATTAACAAGCTAAGTTAAGCTAAGGAGGAAGCTGGCTTAATTAGCTTAGGACCTTGGTTAGCTTAAGCGGAGGAGGAGGCAGCAGCAATCTGCTAGTGAGACTGCTAGTTTTGCAGTAGAAGCGATCTTGTGATAGTTTTTTTATCTCAGCGAGCTCAGACGGTCGAGGGCTTTGATTAGCGCCACACTATACTCCTTAAAGTAAAGCTGTTTTCTTACAGTCTGCTAAGTTTTTTCTAAACTAATTAGAAGCTATAATTTTCTTAAAGCTCCTCCTGTCTAAGAGACTTTAGTGCGCCTGTGTAAGCGCAACGCTTCTAATTCTCTTAATAATTTTTAGCCCCTTCTAGGTAGCTATAACTCTCTTACTTTCTTTATACTATTATTAGTACTATACTTATAATTAATTCTACTTTAATAGGAAAATTCTAGCTTTTGTGTGCAGAAACATGTTATTTATTATTATATTTCTACCTAACGCCTGCTACCTACCTACCTTGCTAGCTCTATTATATCTTTTATCTTAATAACATTGTCTTAAGGCTTTTCTACCTTCTAGCATTTTAATCTGCAGTATATTCTAGAGGCTAAATTAAAGTAGGTTAGTTAATCTTAGCTATTATTAATAGTTAAACATGAGTAGATAGACTAGTAGAGGACAGGGTTAAGAGAAACAGTTGCGTTAGGACGCGTACAATGCTAAGCTTATAATTTTTGTTGTTAAAATATTAAAAATTTATTTAAAAATAGTCTAGAGTAGATTATATATACCCTTTAAGTAATTAATCTTAATTATAGGCGCTGTAAAAAGCTGTGTGTAATAGTATCTTGTATAGGAGTTTCTAGTAAGTTAATAGACAAAGCTTTGCACACGTCGCGCTGCACTAAAGTCCCTTAGACAGCAGCTAAGAAGGAAGAGGCCCTAGCAGAGGTCCGAAAGTATCTATACTATTTGTGTACTAGTGTCTTCTTAGCATGCTGTCTAAGCTAGCTAAGATAAAGTTTTTTAGTGTTGCAAACGTAGCTTATTAAGCAATCTGTGCAACCTCACGCCGTGCACAGCACACTCTATCCTATATTTTCTGCTGCTGTTAGCCTTGTATACTGCGCTGTTAGTGTTGCTTTTAGCTTAAACCTTTATCCTACCCTTCTTATTATTACTATAGCACCTAAACGCGTTAAAGCCACCCCTAGAGGCACTTAAAGTTAGCTTGTTGTTATTAAAGACTCCTAGCAGACACAGCGCCTCTTGCTGCGCTAAGCTCTTATTACCCGTTTTTCTCGCTTGACGCACGGGCTCACCTGGCGCACACTTTGCTCAGGAACACTAAAATTGTCACATAATACTAACTCTACTAATATAGACCTAATTTTAGAAGCGCTTACAGCGTTAGAATCTCTAAAGTTTAGAGAAAAAGTTAATATTACTTAAGTTATAAAAAAATATAGTGTTAAATAATTAATACTGTTATAAAGGTAGCACAGAGTCTAAGGCTTCTATGTAAAGTAATATAAGAATTAATAACTTTTAAATAACTATAAGAAAAGAGAGCTTTTAGAATACATTAAAAAACTATATAAGTAAAGGCTACTCTTTATAATAAACATACTATAACGTACCTAACAAGTTGGCCGGCCACACAGGTTAGCTGGCTACTTTTGCTAAGCCCCTACTAAAACTACCCTATTCTCTTGTAAAACAGCCTACTTTAGCCCTATATAAAGTAATATAACATAAGATATTATTTAGAGTCTACTTTTGCTACTTACTTACATATATGTAAGTTATGCCTAGTTTAATTGCACTGCCTGCATTACCTTTAACTTAGCTTACCTCTTTTAGCGCGCACCTGTGTCTTTAGCTTCTTCTTATTACTACACGCTTTAAACTTCTTTAGAGTAGTTAGACAAGCCTTATTTTTAACTATTAAGGTCTTTTCTGCCTAAATTTGCTTTTTTTTATGTAATTTATGTTACATAGCAGCCTTATTTGCTGCTTAAAGCTCTATAATCTTATAGCTTACTCTATTATGTTAATGCCCTAGATAACTATTATTTACTTTTTATTACTTTACTATATTACCTTTAGCTGTCTTTGTCTCTTTAGAGCTATAATAACTACTTTAGTTAACATCTAGCTTATTATAAAGTTTAACTTATTAAAGTTATACTTGTCTTTATTCTAGATACTATACTTAGCTTTTATATTAGCTACTAGGTAAAACTAGCTCTAAATAACTTTTAGATCTTTATAAAGCGCTTTTTTATAATTATACTTATAATTAAACTTTATTATAAACTTAGGGCAGTGCTTAACCTACATACTAGGCTAGTTTAAGCTAACCTAGCCTAGATTGCGCTCTGCAGGCAAGGAATTAGCCATATTAGCTACAGCTATAGGCCTAGGGGGAAATCTGCGTGTAATAAGCTTAAATATGTACTTAACAACTACCTTTTTTTTAAGCTTAGTTAGATTCTTTAATTTAGGCTAGCATTCTGCTTGTAAAGTCTGTCTAGCGCGTTAATTACTTAGTATTATGTAAGAGACATTATAGATAGCTGTAGTGTGTTATAAAAAGAGTTTTAAGTCTTATTTAAAAGCTTAAAAAGTAAGCTATATCTAACATTCTTTAGAAAATTTAATCTAGTGTTGTTGTTAAGGCATTATGTAGATAGGTAGAGTTTAGTAGGGGCTTAGCAAAAGTGGCTGGCTAACCTGTGTGGCCGGCTAACCTGTGTGGCCGGCTAACCTGTTAGGTACGTTATAACTTTACTACTAAAATAAGTAGCAAATAGGTAGAGAGCTTATAGCTAGACTAGTTTCTTAAGCGTTACTAAGCTAACCTAGTATTAAAGTAGACTACTAGCATTAATAAAAAAAGAAAAAGAGCTAATTTTAGTTTTAAATACACACTATATTTTAATTTTTTAATGTGTAAGATTAAATAATATAATATCTAGCTAAAAAATATGTATAATATAAATAAAAAAGGCTTCTTAATTAAAGTGCTTTTAAAGATAAAGCAGATCTCTTTCTAGTAAAAGTATAAAAAAAGTAGGATTAAGTAGATAGTTTAGAACAGTAACTATAAGTAGATAATAATAATTACTTATATATACACTAATAAATCTTCTCTTTCTTTAAGCCTTATCTACTAGGTAGTTATAAGTAATATCTAAGACTTATAGCTTTAAAACTTTATTTTTAAGTAAAGAGGCTAATAATAACTTTAAGCTTTAATAGCTTAAGATAATCTTTAATAAAAAAACTAAACTAAAAGTGTAGTAAAGATACTAACTTTTTATTCTTAATAAACATAGATTCTATATAAACATAAAGTCTATTAAGTACTATAATAATAATAAAATTCTTCTAGCTATTTATTTTTTATAGAACTTATATACTTTAGCTACTTAATGTTTGCTTATTTAAGCGTCTTTTATAAGCTTATATCTATAAGATAGTATAGTTTATAAAAAAATCTTAAGCTTCTTTTACTATTACTAAAAAAAATTAAAATTTCTGCATGTTTTAGGCAGCATAGAAGAAAGCTTTTACTACTAATAATGTTTTTTTTTAAAGTTTAAAACTTATAGTTTTTATATTTTTTAAGCCTAATATTATTCTAAACTAATTTAATAACTTTAAAGCTAAAAAACTTTTCTCTAGTAAAAGCCTAAAGTTAGTGCTTATAGCTAAAAACTAAAGAAAAATTACTAAGCTTTTAAAATTAGTTATTAATAATATATATAACTTTAAAGCTTAGCAGCTTTTATAAATAATCTACATACTATTTATATAAAACATCTTTTTAAAACTAGAGGTTTACAGCCTTAAAAAAGCACTAGTTGATAAGAAAAAGTATTAGTAAAAAAAAAAGCTTTTTAGCTTAAACTTTTTTTTAATTTAAACAGTAAAGTAATTTTTTAGAGCTTAAATAAAGTCTAGTAAGCTTATAGGTGTAAAATAAAAAAAGTAAAAGTAGTAAAAGCAAAGACACTTAAAAAAAAAGAAGATGCTAAGCGCAAAGCTATAAAAAAAAAGCAGAGAAGAAGTAAGTTATAAAAAAAAAGACGGTGTATAAAGGCTACTGCAAAGGAAATCTAACTCTAAGAGCAGGCTTAGAAGCAGTAGGAGAAGAAGGATAACAAGTAAGTTAGATTAGCAGCTGCGCAGCTCTAAAAGGACATCTAATATACTAAATAAGCTAAAAAAAAAAAAGTAAACAGCATTCTCTTAGACCTTAGAATAATAGTAGTAATAAGGAATTAGTTGTAGAGGTTATTGCTGCCCCCTGTAAGGCCGGATGTCCCAGAACGGGCCAGTATGGCCTCACCTGACCTGTTTGGAGGTCATATGACCTGTGCTTCGTATATAAGCACGAATCCTGACAAGCGAGGCTTGGCAGCGATTCGTCTCTCTTACAATACACTCCTATCTTTCTCCGAAAGCTTGCTCTCAGTGCTATCCGTGCTACCTATAACCTCCGGAAGGCCTCCGTATCGGCCCCGACCCCGACCTGGCCCTGACCCCTGCTGTTACCCCTATTCTCTTATGTATTTAGTCGCACCTCGCCCTTGTAGCTAGCTTGGTACTTTTCTAATATCCTACGTACAAGGCCTATAGGTGTTATTAACATTCCTAGGTCTCTAAGTCCCTACACACTCCTATATGCCTCTAAGTAGATTTATACTGCATTTAGACCTATTGTCTTGCCTGCGCTGTTACATTATATTAGAAAACTTGCTTTTTCTAGTAACAGCCTTATTATAATATT